TCAGGGCTGTTAGATAAAAATGAAGAGGTTTATAAACATGCAAACATTTTCTTTTTTCTCCTCTCTCTCTTTTTTTTAAATTTATTAGTTCAAATTAGGAACAAGCTTGTTTCACATGTCAATCCCTTCCCCTCTCCCTCCCTCCCCCACCCATCTCCCCTTACCCCCTACCTACTCCCCACTCCATCTACCCTCCACTCTCCAGGAAGGGTAGGGCCCTTGACGGGGGGCTCCCCAAAGTCCACCATATTATCCTGGGTCTGGCCTAGGCCTTCCCCCATGTGTCCAGACCAAGAGTGCATCCTTCACTTGGGATGGGCTCTCAAAGTCCCTTCTTACACCAGGGAAAAATACTAATCCACTACCAGGGGCCCCCTAGAATGCAGAGGCCTCCTCATTGACACCCATGTTCAGGGCTCTGGATCAGTCCTGTGCTGGCCTCCCAGACAGCAGTCTGGGGTCGATATGCTCCCACTTGTTCAGGCCAGCTATTCCTGTGGGTTTCACCAGCCTGGTGCCAATCCCTTTGATCTTCATTCATCCCTCTCTGCAAATAAGTTCCAGAGTTCAGTTCAGTGTATATCTGTGGATGTCTGACTCTGCTTCCATCAGCCACTGGATGAGGGCTCTAGGATGGCATAAAAAGTAGTTATCAGTCTCATTATAGGGGAAGGGTGTTTAGGTTATCCTCTCCACCATTGTCTAGATTGTCAGTTTGTGTCATCCTTGTAGGTCTCTGGAAATCTCCCCAGTGCCAGATCTCTCCTCAGACCTGTAATGACTCCCTCTAATATAGTATCTCTCATCCTGCTCTCCTCTATTCTTCCCCCAACTCAATATTTCTGCTCCTCCATTTCCTCCTCTCCTTTCCTCTTCACTTCCTCTCATTCTGGCAGCTCCCTCTCCCCTACCCTCATGCTCCCAATTAGCTCAGGAATTCCTGCCCCTTCCCATTCCTGGGGTCCATGTATTTTCCCCTTAGAATATTTTCCCCTTCTTGTTTCCTAGTTTCTTTGGTGAAGAGAATTGTAGGCTGGTAATCCTTTGCTCTATGTCTAAAATTCATATATGAGTGAGTACATACCATGTTTGTCTTTTTGTGACTGGGTTACCTCACTCAGGATGGTTTCTTGAAGATTCAGTGTGGCTGGATTTATGTTGAGATCTGTGATCCATTTGCACTTAAGTTTTATGCATGGTGACAGATATGGATCTATCTGCAATCTTCTGCATGTCCCAATCGAGTTGTGCCAGCACCATTTGTTGAAGATGCTATCTTTCTTCCATTGTATAGTTTTAGAATATTTGTCAAAAATAAGGTGTTCATAGGTGTGTGGGTTAATATCAGGGTTTTTCAATTCAATTCCATTGGTCTATCTGTCTATTTTTGTGCCAATACCAAGCTGTTTTCAGAACTATGGCTCTATAATATAGCTTGAAGTCAGGGTTGGTGATGCCCCTAGAAGATCCTTCATTGTAAAGAGTTGTTTTGGCTATCCTGGGTTTTTGTTTTTCCATATAAAGTTGAGTATTGTTCTTTCAGGGTCTGTGAAAAACTGTGTTGGGATTTTGATGGGGGTTGTGTTGAGTCGGTATATTATTTTTGGCAAGATTGCCATTTTTATTATGTTGATTCTACATATCCAAGAGCATGGGAGATCTTTCCATTTTCTGGTATCTTCTTTAATTTCTTTCTTTAAGAACTCAAAGTTCTTACTGTACAGGTCTTTCACTTTTTTTGGTTTGTGTTACCCCAAGATATTTTAGGTTGCTTGTGGATATTGTGAAGGGTGATGTTTCTCTAATTTCTTTCTCATTGGATTTATCATCTGTATATAGTAAAGCTACTGATTTTTTTTTAGTTAATTTTGTATCCTGCTACTTTGCTGAAGGTGTCTACCAGTTTTAAGGGTTCCCTGGTAGAGTTTTTTGGGTCACTTACGTAGACTATCATATCATCTGCAAATAGTGAAAGTTTGACTTATTCCTTTTCAATTTGTATCACGTTGATCTTCTTTTCTTGTCTTATTGCTCTATTTAGAACTTCAAGTACAATATTGAAGAGATGTGTAGAGAGTGGAAAGCCTTGTCTTGTTCCTGATTTTAGAGGAATTGCTTTGAGTTTCTTTCCCTTTAGTTTGATGTTGGCGGTTGGTTTGGTGCATATTGCTTTTATCATGTTTAGATATATTCCTGTTATTCCTGTTCTCTCCAAGATCTTTATAAGGAAACATGTTGCATTTTGTCAAAGGCTTTTTCAGCATCTAGTGAGATGATCATGTGGTTTTTCTTTTTTAGTTTGTTTATGTGGTGGATGAACCTTCCTTGCATCCCTGGGATGAAGCCTATTTGATCATAGTGGATGATTTTTCTGATGTGTTCTTGGATTTGATTCGCTAATATTTTGTAGAGTATTTTTGCATCGATGTTCATGAGGGATATTGGTCTGTAGTTCACTTTTTTAGTTGTATCTTTGTGTGGCTTGGGTATCAAAATGACTGTAGCCTCGTAAAAAGAGTTTGGCATTGTCCCTTCTCCTTCTATTGTGTGGGACAATTTTAGGAGCACTGGCATTAACTCTTGTTTCAATTTCTGGTAGAATTCTGCAGTGAAGCCATCTGGCCCTGGGCTTTTTTTGGTTGGGAGGCTTTTGATGACTGCTTCTATTTCATTAGGGGTTATAGGTCGATTTAAACTGCTTATCTGTTCTTGGTTTAATTTTGGTAAGTGATATCTATCCAGGAAACTGTCCATTTCCTTTAGATTTTCCAATTTTGTGGAGTACAGGTTTTCAAAGTATGACCTGATGATTCTCTGGATTTCCTCAATGTCCATTGTTATAGCCCCATTCATTTCTGATTCTGTTAATTTGCATGCTCTCTCTCTGCCTTTTGGTTAGTTTGGCTAGAGGTTTGTCTATCTATTTTCTCAAAGAACCAACTCTTTGTCTCACTGATACTTTGTAATGTTTTTTCTAGTTTCTACTTTATTGATTTCAGCCCTCAGTTTGATTATTTCCTGGCGTCCACTCCTCTGGGGTGAGTTTTCTTATTTATACTCTAAAGCTTTCAGAGGTTCTGTCAATTCTCTTATGTGACTATTCTCCAGTTTCTTCATATGAGCACTTAGTGTTATGAACTTTCCTCTTAGCACTGCTTTCAGAGTGTCCCATAAGTTTGGGTATGTTGTGTCTTCATTCTCATTAAATTCTAGGAAGTCTTTAATTT